AAACAGATTTACAAGAAAAAAAACAAACAAACTCATTCAAAAGTGGGCTAAGGATATGAACAGACACTTTGCAAAAGAAGACATCAATAAGGCCAACAAACATATGAAAAAATACTCATCATCACTGGTCATTAGAGAAATGCAAATCAAAGCCACATTGAGATACCATCTCACACCAGTTAGAATGCCAATCATTAAAAAATCAGTAGACAACAGATGCTGGAGAAGATGTGGAGAAATGGGAATATTTTTACACTGTTGGTGGGAGTGTAAATTAGTTCAACCATTGTGAAATAAAGTTTAGCGATTCCTCAAGGATCTAGAAATAGAAATACCATTTGACCCAGCAATCCCATTACTGGGTATATACCCAAAGAATTACAAATTGTTTTATTATAAAGACACATGCACACGTATGTTTATTGTGGCACTGTTTACAATAGCAAAGACCTGGAACCAACACAAATATCCATCATCGATAGACTGCATAAAGAAAATGTGGCACATATACACCATGGAACACCACACAGATGTAAAAAAGATGAGTTCATGTCCTTCATAGGGAGACGGATGAGTCTGGAATCCATCATTCTCAGCAAACTGACACAAGAACAGAAAACTAAACACCGCATGTTATCACTCATAGGCGGATGTTAAACAATTAGAACACGTGGATACAGGGAGGGGAACATCACACACTGTGGTCAGTGGGGGGTGATGGGGAGAAACGGTGGGTGGTGGGGAGGGTGTGGAGGTATAATGAGGGGAGAAATACCAGATATAGGTGATGGGGGATGAAAGCAGCAAACCTTGCCATGTATGTACCTACGCAACAATCCTACATGATCTGCACATGTACCCTAGAACCTAAAGTACAATTAAAAAAAATAGTAAATACAAAACAAATGTTTTATATAAATAAAATAATTTACAAATATAGTACAGAAGACTGAATGAAGGTCACATGACAAAATATAAATTTTTTAACTTTGTCAAAGAAAAAATAAAGTTATAGCTGACAGATCTTGGATGGTAGGAGTCTGTGAGAAGAGAGAGTTAAAGGGCCAATAGTAACACCACTTAAAAGTGGACATCAAGGAGGCAGGACATCTGGAGTGGATGTGTAAAACCTGATCCAGGAAAGTCATCAAACAGGTGACAAAACAACAATAACAACTAAAACAAAAAGTCACTGGGTGGAATGGGGCAGCAAGAATCCAGAGATGTTGTGACATATTACCTAACTTGCACAATTTTGAAAATAAAAGTACATGATAATGCAAACAGAAAAACATGAGCCACACTCTGGAAAGTATCAATCCATACAGACACTCTGAGGGAACAGAGCACAAAGGTCGCAATCAGACAAAGGCTGCAAAGAAGCTATTATAAAAATGTACAAAGAATGAAAGGAAACCGTGTTTTAAAGAAAGAAAGTATAGTAAAATAAGTCAGTAAATACAGAACATCAATAAAGAGAAATGGTTTAGCCTGTAAGCACTTTGGGAGGCCAAGGGGGGCAGATCATTTGCGGTCAAAAATTCAAAACCAGCCTGGCCAACATGGTGAAACCCCATCTCTACTAAAAATGCAAAAATTAGCCAGGCATGGTGGCACATGCCTGTAACCCCACCTACTTGAGAGGCTGAGGCCAGAGAATTGCTTGAGCCTGGGAGACAAAGGTTGCAGTGAGCAGAGATCATGCCACTGCACTCCAGCCTGGGCAACAGGATAAGACTGAATCTCAAAAAAAAGAAAAGAGAGAGAGGCAGAGAGGAATGGTTTAACAAAGAATGAAATGGAAACTCTGAAGCTGTACATTACAACAGATGAAATTTTTAAGACATTATTAAAGTGTATCAACAGCAATTTAAACTGTAAGAGGAAAGCATTGGTGAACTTGAAGAGATAGCATTAGAAATTACGCCTCTGAGGAGGAAAAGAAAAATACAAAGCCTCAGAGACCTGTGGGACACAAAAAATCATACCAACATATGCATAATGGGAGTAGCAGAAGGAGAACAGAGAAAGGGGAAGAAAAAATATTGAAGAAATGAAAACTTCCTAAATCTGATTTAAAACATTAATACACATCCCAAAGTTTAACAAATTTTTAAGTAGGATAAACACAAAAGAGATCCATCCCTAAGATCAAGAACAAAACAAGAACATCTGCTCCCACCTCTTCTATTCAACATTGACTGAACAGTCAAGCCAGTGAAATAGACAAGTAAAACAAATAAAAAACATCCAGATTTGAAAGCTGTCTTTAGCTACAGGTAAAGTGTTGTCATGTAGAAAATCCAATACCACCTATAAAAACAAAAATAAAAACCAAAACTAAATAAGTTTAATAAGATAAAAGATGCAATATCAATATAAAAAATAATTGTATTTCTATAAATTAGTAGCATACAACTGAACATTGAAATTAAACCAACATTGATGTTAAATTTGAAACATTTGAAAATAAATATGACAAAAGATGTATATGAACCCTGAATATCTGAAACAGTTCTCAGTTAATTTAGAAAGTTTATTTTGCCAAGATAAGGTTGCCCGCCCATGACACAGCCTCAGGAAATCCTGATGACATGAGCCCTAGGTGGCTAGGCACAGCTTGATTTTTTATACACTTTAGGGAGCTATGAGACATCAATCAATAGATGTAGGAAGTACACTGGTTTCATCCAGAAAGGCGGGGACAACTCGAAGCAGGCCTTCCAGGTCACAGGTAGATGAGAGACAAATGGTTACATCCTTTTGAGTTTCTGATAAGTTTTTCCAAAGGAGGCAATCAGAGTATGCATCTATCTCAGAAAGTAGAGAGATGACTGAATAGAATGGAAGGCAGGTTTTGCAGTTCCCAGCCTGACTTTTCCCTTTAGCTTAGTAATTTGGGGGCCCCAAGATTTTTCTTTTCCATGTGCAAGTCTTATATGCTAGAAACTGCAAAATATTGTTGAGAGAAATTAAGGAATACCTAAGTAACTTGATAGATGTATCTTGTTTATGGATTAGAAAACCTCATATTATTGAGACTCAATTCCCCCCAAACATCTATAGATTTAACAAAAATTCCAATAAAAATCCCATAGTTTTTTTATACAAATTGACTAGCTAATTCTGAAAATTATATGGAAATGCCACAGACCTAGAATAGCCAGAGTAATTTTGTAAAAGAAAAAAGTTGGAGGGCCAAGACTACCTGAATTGAAGACTTATTATAAAGCTACAAGAAGACGATATGCTTTAGTATAAAGGTAGACAAAGAGATCAGTTGAATAGAAAAGAAACACAAAATGTAGAACCAAACATACATAAAAATACTGATAACAAAGGTGAAAAAGTAATTCAGTTGAAAAACATCATCTTTTCAACAAATGGAGATAATAAAATTTAATTATCTACATGAAAGAAAAATTAAAACTTCAATCCATGCCTCACAATGCACACCAAATTAACTAAAGCTGTATCATATAAACATAAAAGAATAATCAAAAAAAGTACAAAGATAAATTGTAATTCATGAAAACTAGAACTTTTACTCATTGAATAATGCTATTAAGAAAATGAAAAGATAAGCCACCTATAAGGAGAAAATAGTTACAAACTGTATACTTAGTAAAGAATTTGTATCTACATCATATTATATAAAGAACCTTCATTATTAGTAATAATAAAACCAAAAAGTGGCAAAATTTTTAGATACATCACCAGAAAAAATGTATAATCCCATGAAACTATAGTCAACATTGTTAGTCATTGGGATGACCCAAATTAAAATATTGCATGCCTGTTAGAATAACTAAAAAAGACTCACCATATCAATTACTAGGGAGGATATGGGGAAACTGGACCTCTAATATACTGCTGTTGGAAATATAAAATGATACCACCAATTTGGAAAAGTCTGGCAGCTTCTTAGAGGGTTAAATGTGTATCTACCATATGATTCAGGCATTCTATTTCTGTGTTTTGGGTTTGTTTTTTTCCAAGAGAAGGAAACCACTGATCCATATTAAGGCTTAACTTAAATGCTTGCTTACGTAAGTTTTACGTGAGTAGCCTAAAACTGAAAACAACCAAATATTGATCAACAGGTAGATGATGACAAAATATGGGTGTATTCCTACAATGAAAAATGGCTGAGCATTTTAAAGTGTGAACTACTGACACATACAACATGGATGCATATCGAAATAATCACAGAAAGTGAAAGAAGTCATGCAAAAACAAAGAGCACTTACAGTATGCTTCCTTCACATAAAGTTCTAGAACAGTGGTTGGCAAACATTTTTGGTAAAAGGAAAGATAGTAAATATTTTAGGCTCTGCAATTCACGGTGTCTGTCTTATTTATATTGTGCTGTTCCAGTGTGAAAGCAATCATAGATGATAGGCAAACAAATGAGTGTAGCTGTGTTCTAGTAAAATTTCATTTACAGAAGCAGGTGGTTGGGCCAGATTTGACCAACAGGCCATTGTTTGCTGATCATTGCTCTAAAAAACATGGACTAATCTACCATGACATAAAACAGATGAGTGGGTGTGGAGATGGGAAGAGAACAGGAAGGAGGAATTTCAAAAGGGCATGAGGAAACTTTTAGGGGTGATAGAAATAGTAATTATCTTCATTATTGTGATTGTTTCACAGGTGCATACATATATTAAAATCTAATAAATGGTGAATTTTAAATATGTGCAGCAAATTATAGGTCAATTATATCCAAATAAAGCTATTAAAAATCAATTAATGCATTTTACCATATTAACAGAATAAATTAGAACAACCATATGACCATATTAATAGATGCATAAAAAATGGTGTTTTTTTAACTCGACAAACCCTCATGGTAAATGACACCTAAAAAAATGTTTGGAAGATGGCCATTTAGGAACAGCTTGGAGTTGCAGCTCCCAGTGAAAGCGCAGAGGGTGAGTGGACCCCACATTTTTATAGCCCACGGACCAGGAGATTCCCAGGCGGAGGGGACCCACAGGTCGCCAGCGAGGCCGGCTCGGTTCTTTTGGTCGGCGGGGTGCTTTGCCCCAAACGGCTGCTTTGTCAGCAGCTCGGCAGGTGGTTCTCCAGACAAAATACACTGTTCCGTGTGTCCTTTTGGCTGGCGATTGGAGCCCCGGGAAGCCACACATTCATCTGATTAAAGAGGGGACTGAACAGGGAGCCAGGCCAGGAGATTCCTGAGCAAAAAAAGCACCACGAATCTCAGCGCCACTGTTTAAGCCGGTGCAGTAGGTCACCGCACAGGAAACAGATCCCGGTGCCCTTTCAACAGGCAACTGGAACACCTGGGATAAA